AATAGAATAAAGAACAGGATGAGTTCTATGGGAGGGGTGACTTTTTTGTGCTTGCAGCATGGAGTTATGTTGCTTCAAAGTAAATGTATGCTCATTCTGGAAACATATTCTGGCAACAAAACAGAGTTGTGAATGATTTTTCCAGATTTTTATTCCAACAGGAAAAACAAAGGGTGGACATTGAAACTTCCATGGTATCAACCATGCAAAATGGGCAATAACATAGATCTGATTTGTGTGACTGGGATCCTTCTCCATACTAGAAGAACAAGAAAGTGATGGTTCAGGTCACCCAAGAGCCTCATCTACTACTACTAGAAGTAGTAGTACTAGTACTACTAGTACTAGTAGTTCCAGAGGCTATTACTAGTATAATACTAGTAGTACTACAAGTACTACTAGTACTAGTACTTTAGTACTAATACTGCAAATACTATCAATATTTTTAAAAATTACTACTACTACTAGCCTACGTCCGAGAGAGTGTTCTGGACCTCTCCCAACCTCGCGCGACACTAATTTTTAGAATATGAACCTTTCAAAATCTCAGATCCTCATTCCTTTCTTGATGATTCTTCATCTGTACGGTGCAGAACCCATCCTGCACTAAATCTGCAATCATTTGTTCCATACACTGAACAAAATATTTTTTTTGTCGCATYGAAACAAACTTTTGTTCCGTTGTTGTCGATATTCTTCTTCTCTTCATTTACTCTTTTTATTGTTGCTGTGCATTGTACCACTATCATGCCTCCTGCAATCAGAACCCATATTGTATTCTATTGTCATGGGTGTTGGGAACTAGAAGGGAAGAAATCAAAGTTCAAAGTCTATAAATCTCAATCAACTACTCACGTCAATGTTCTTAAATATGTCGCAGCAGGATTAAAAAGACATATCTTGCACAATTCAGAATGCTATTCTGTCTACAAATCCCACAACCTCATTAAAGGAAGGGACATCAATTTTTCTACTTCAATTRGAGAGCAAACATCTATTCCTCCCATWCACCATTCTCCAACTGATTTAGGGCTGACAATAGTCGCGAACGGACCAAGTCTGCCGTCCCATTTCAAAAATCCTAATCATGGGCCGAGGTCTTTGGCAAGCAACCTACACTCCATACTCAATAGACAGGTCATCCACAATGTCTTTGTTCCACCAATGGAAAGAAATCTTATTGAATGTCACATGGCTGCCTCTGCTCAAGACAACGATGACTTTGGTGGCAGCAGAAACAATGATGACAGTAGTAGAAGCAGTGACAGCAACAACAACAGCAATAGTGATGGCAAATGTGCTTTTGACAACAGCAACACACACACCAGAGAAATTCTTGACCCTCCTCAAGCTGTCCCTGCTCCTCTGTCACAACCAACCAATGAAACCATTCATTTCAATCAAAGAAAGGAAGAACAACAAAATCACATGATGCTTCAGCCATCTGCCCAGCTTCTTGCAGAGGTTGAGTTAATGAGCCTAATGACTAAGCACAAACTTCCACTTGCTACATTCACATCAATATGGAAATGGGCACAGAAAAGTCAGAACAGAACAGGATTTGACTTCAGTGATACTAGTCCCTGTTGCAGAAAGACAATATTCAAAGAACTCAGGAGTAGCCTTGGTATTTCTGACATGAAGTTTCACCCGCACATAGTCAACTGGCTTCCAGACAACAAACCAACACAGGTGTATGTTAGGTCCTTTCATGATGCTCCTCTATACTCTCTACTCTCAAACAAGGAACTCATGAGGGAAGAAAATCTCTCATTTCCTGATCCAACGACTCCTCTGTCTTCATGTAATGAACCAGAGTTGGAAGATGATTCTGTAATTTCAGAATTGCACCATGGTACCTGGTGAAAAACCTCTTGGGATGAAATTTGCACCTCTGATTCACAAATTCTTGTTCCCATCATTTTCTATATGGATGAAATTTCTTTGGATGCACATGGAAGACTCACTCTCACACCGTTAAACATGACACTGTGTATTTTCAGTCTGTACTATTATTTCCCCCACTAATGCAAGTATGTTGTTACTTCCTATGATTTGTTACCTKAACACAGCTGATTATGATAAGAACAGAGTACCAGCCTCCTTCCCAGGTACTGTTGGAGTGGTTGAAGACCCAGACTACAGTGGCTGGGGGAGTATAAATCHTGACTACAGGAAATACAAGGATGCCGAGAATGAAGAATTCTATTATTTTGTGACCAGAATCTTGTCTGCCGTCAATCCAACAAAAAGTAACTTCAAGCRAAGGAAAGACAAAGATTTGCTCAGTGAGATCTTCTCAGTCACTGATGAGGCATTTGCTTTAATATTGATCTTCRATGAACACCATGTTTGGGAGAACCAGAAGCAGAGGAAGATAAATCCYGAGATCCGCYGTAGGAAGAAAAGRTATTGCGATGCTGAGAGTGGCAATAGGGATGGTTGGATGGAGGAAGGAAAGGACTTSTTTAATGAATTATGTGAAAAAGTAGCAAAGCTACTCGAGGATCACACTACAGTGAAGGAGTTCGAGACAAAGATGCAAGAGAGGTTCATGAAGGAGAGTGGTAATTACAAGAAACGCAGTAGCAGCAMTACTACTGGTATTAGTAATAATAGACCAAAAAGGAAAAARCAGAGTAGCTATATTGATCCAGCACTGAGAGCTTCTCTGCTCGAGGATGGTTTGGGTGATATAYCAGCAGGATCATCAGATGGAGAAGAAACAGAAAAGGAAGAGGAGGATCTAGAATAAAATTGAAAATCAATAGYAGTATATATTACATATTTTGAGAATCTATTTATTCTACCAGTAGTATAGAGCAGTAGTCCAGAATACAAGAAAATGATTGGGAGTAATATTCTGTATGTGAGAATTTATGTTTTGAAAATAGATTATAAGAAACTGGAGAAAGGAATTGATGACAACAATTGTAAAAAAGTTGACAATTGAGTCTTTTTTGGGGTCACGATCACATCTCAACAAAATATATTTTGTTACGGGTCTTGGAAAATTTTCATTCATTGATGGAATTATATTTGGTGCGCGCGACACGCACAAATGAATTATTTTTTTCAACATCACAAAGAAAAATCAAAACGGTACTGTCCGTTAAAGTGCTGGTCAACAGTGGGGGCGCCATAGCAAAGGAATAACAGGGTGTATTTTTTGCCATGCATGTTAAAAACACGCACAACGCGACAAACAAAAATTATACCCTAGGAAGCATCTCTCGGACGACTACTAGTACTAGTAGCTAGTAGTACTAAAACTAGTAGTAGTACCTAGCATGCCCTTAGTACTAATTCCTTCTTCTTCAGTAGTACTACGGTACTAGTACTACTCCTAGTACTCCTAGTACTGCTATTACTAGTAGTAGTAAGAAAAGAAGCACAKGATGCTATTTCCATCACTACTACTAGTACAGCAGTACTTCCATTGGAACAACAAGTTCTTACACCATGAGAGGATGAGTGCGTTCGTGGCTCATCATTTTTTTGAAATCGGTACGTTTGCACGGTACGACTGTCAGGTCGCTGATTACGACATTGTAGTATGAGCACTTGGAATTTTGCCACCGTAAGATAATGGGTGATTCCCGCAAACATATTAATATGTAAAAATGAGACCGGCCGGCTCGAAAAAATATG